AGAGTTTCAGTTTAATATTATATATATATTTATATTAGATATAAAGTACATAAATATAAAATAGATTTTAACTGAATTTAAATACAAATTAAAGATTAATACTGTATGTATAGTATATTCATTATTAGTATACAAGATTGAAATTTTGTAAGAATTTAAATAAATAAAATTTAAACATAATTTATTCAGAATTTGCATATTACAAATTAATGATTAAATTTCCATCTATAGTATTTTACTGTTTCAACTTATAAATTAATTTAATTAAAATTTTATAATCGTCACTAAAATAGACAAATGTATACCACTTCGACCAGTTATAGAGGTTGGAACCAGTTTTAACTGGATTGCATTCATTAAAGATAGGTTCATTTTGTTGACAAACGTTTCATCAACGATCATTTCACTGACATTCCATAAAAAAAAAAATATTTTGAAAGTTAAAAAATTACAATAAATGGTATAATTTACATTTTTCAATAAATTTGATTATTTATTCTGAAATATTTTTAATTGCCCATAACATATTAATTAAATTAATATGTACTATAAATAACATATGATCGCCAAATTGGAAAATTCCTTTTTTTTATTATACTCTACTCTTTTAAATATGAAGCTTTATTTATTTTATTTTTCTATTAATGATTAATTTACTAATGTAACTTTATAAAAAAAATATAAACCGTCGACGAAATGATCGTGTTGATAAATGAACATGGTGAAATAATTGTGTCAGTGAAATAATCGTTAGTGAAACATTTGTCAGTGAAATGAACTGAACCCCAGATACTTGTGTTTTTGGTTCACGATTATTAAAAGACTAGACATCGTTTTTTTAATAAATTATTAATAATATTTGTAAAATTAATCTGCCTCTTTGGTCTAAATGAATTCAAAGGGGCAGAAAAACGGATTGCGGATGCTAATGGTTTACCAGAATTGTTTTAAAAAAGCCTCCAAGATAAAATTAAGGAATTGATTCTGTATTCTTGTTAATTATTAAAAATAAAGTTTTGAAAAAAATGGATAAAGTTCATATATTAAGAACTTTACAATTGAATTTTATATTATTTACTTTAATCTAAATTTTTTATTTAAAAAAAAATATATAATAATATAAAAGTACGATATTTTTATTATCATATTTATTCATACTTTTTACTGTAATATAAACTTTACCGATCTTTTTTTTTGGTTTTTCTTATGAAAGTGCAGAGGCAAAAGTTAGCAAAGCCGTATTAAAAAGTAATTCAATACAATATCAGATTATGATTATTGCTTTTGATTTTGTTAGAATTTGTTTCTTTTAATAAATTTGAGTTTAAAAATGCCATTCATCAAGTTAAATATCTAGATTACGATCGATATTCAAATTTGTAATGAGGGAAAGCTTTCATTTTACATTAGTTTTTAGCCACGTCATTACGATTATTGTATATTTGTTTTTTTCTTTAAAAAAAAAAAAAATAATATCATTTGTAAAATTTGAGACTTTCGAGTCGGAAAATCTATTTTTTAAAAAAAATAAAATGATTAAAAAAAAACATATTAATGAACCCTTACATTTCCATTTAACTTGCTATAGGATTTTTTAAATAGTTTCGACTTTCAACAACGTTTTTCAGTCTTACCCCACTAACTTAGTATTATTAGTAAAAAAAAAAAAAACTCCCAATTTTAACAAAAAACTAATTTGTTACAAATATCAATTCTATTCCATTTTTCTTTCTACATAGTTTTATTAGATGAGATTATTTAACGCCGAAATCATCTAGGACAAATCAAATCTTTTATATAGGATATGATTATTAGCTTCTAAAAAATAAATACTTGTTCAAAAAATCTTTTTTTTGTTTTTAACGTAGCCTAAATTTTTCGTCAACATAATATTTGGTATTTTACTTCTGTCCACAATTTTGCTCTGCGAAATTTGAATAAATAAACTGATGATACTACATAAAGAAATCCTAAATTAACAGATTGTACATGCTTCATTTTTGATCTTTTCGCATTGATCAATTATTCTACTATTTTGATCATTTCATAATTGTCAATTAAAACATCTGATTTTTTTGTGAATAAATGAATTTTTGATCATGTGATTTTCATTCAACGAATAGATTTTTTAAAACTTTAAAGTCAATATTTAAATATTTTCCTAAACATAAAAATTTATATTTCAATTAATAAGTATTCGAACAAAATCTAGTTGGGCATTTACGGATCATAATGTTACTAGGTCTCGTACGATTTTCTTTTATCTATAATACTAAACAAGAAGAAAATGAAATCTTTTGAGATTGTATACTTTTTAGTTACTTTATTTTTACCGATCCTGAACATGAAAACTAAGATCATCAGTTTGATTAATTTGCTTTTGAACAGATATTGCTAAGAATCGGCGAGCTACCTTCCTTTTTTAATATGATGTCATATAAGTTTTTAATCACAATTCTCTCACTGAATTTGATTTAAAAGAAAACCTTTCCTATAATTTTATTAATTATATTTTTTTTCATAGGTGGTCGTTCAATATCCAATTTAATATATTATGAAAATTTCCTGGTATTATAAACATTAATTCTTTATAGAAAAAAAATGTTTATTTTGTCCAATAAGAATACTTTCTTTACGGCTTTAGATGCAAATTACCATCTACAACCAACCCAACTTGATGAAAAAAAGCTTGGAAACAGTGGATGTCAATTGGTTAAATAAGCCAAATAGAACAACCTACTATTTTTTATTGAAGATTGTTAAATAATTTTTCATGTGCAAATGAAAAACTAAAGCAAAGCAACGACGGAAGTTGCCTTGATTGCCCGTTTGTTCATTTCTATAAACTCAATTTCTTGTACTAGGCTAGGTCCTCACGTTATTCCTTCTTTCAATGTTCAACTTCATACATCAGACAGAATAATTAAAGTGCCTTGATATTATTCACAAGTGATGTAATTCATCATAACTTTAACTGGACGTCGTGTTGTGCCGCCAAACAAAGGTTTGAGCTTCAATCAACTATCTACAACTTTTTACAATTTTCCAACTGTTATAACACGTGCAGCCGCTTGAATTTCTAGTGCTTCCTAAATTTTCTAACTACTTCTTTGAAGACACGTTGTACGCCAGCATCATCTCTAGAATATAATATTCTCGTTTGACTTTCAACATAAAAAGAAATTTTGTCAAAAGCATTATACCAAAATATTCCAACTGTTGTCCAACATTCTACATGCTTATCGAAAAAATTCACTTATAAAGAGCAAACGGCTTAGATACGCAAATTCATAATATTTCCATTGCTATTATAAGCTTCCTTGGTTACTCTTTACAAATATCTTAACAAAATCTCTTGAACGTTTTAACCGTCAGAATTAGAAAATCGGATATATCTTGTCTTTTTACAATTGCAATACCTGCAATCGAGCAGAAGTAGTTAGAATCATGAAATGTAAAAGCAAACAATCAAAGAAATATTCATATGGAGCGCACCAATTCTTCAACATTAGTAACATATTTCGTATCTTTGTTGAAATCCCACCAACATGCAATCATAATAACTTTAGTAAAGTCAAGGTTGTGCCAAAAGTGTATGACATGAAGGCCCTCTTTAAGTTCTCTATCAACCGGCCAGCAAGGGTTCTTGGTTACATTATCTTCGCATGTAAAATGAACAATCCATTTCTCCTCTGACGGGAGCAATGTCGCGTAAGTAAGAGCCCGTCCAAAATGTTCGTCAAGCTCGTTTCGTGTCGCTGTTGCCAATAGTTCGAGAACAACCGTTGGATTTTTTGACGAACTGATAACAATATCGCTGTATTTATGCTGATTACGGCCGTTAATATTATGTATAAGATGCCACTGACCGGTTATTGTAAATCCAATGAGCCAATTCGACAATACTCGGTACAGCTCCGCATCATACACACTCTCTCTTGGGACATTCAAACCTTTAACGTTGTTTATGTTTACATGGGCTTTTTTAAATGAACGAAAGAAAGCCAGTTTCATTGTTTCTTTATCGAAAATTTGGACGGCCAATTTCAAGACTTTAAAGAGATCCAACTTACGCGGATCAGAATGGTAGGGTACTTCAACATTAGGGCAGGAGGGAAACACCCGAGGAATTATTCGCCGAAGAACCAGCCAGCGCATTAAAGGCGAGGAAATCTTGAACGTATCTGTATCATCTCCATGAACCAAAACACCTTCTTCTGTGAGGAACAAAGCAATATCTTTTTGGTTTTCAGAAACTGATACAGGATCAATATTCGCCAGGAAATCGGATCGGAGGAGATTCACAGCACGCTTAATATCCTTATCATCTGCAAGGAGGGCATTTTTCATTCTTTTAAAGGTCTGGTACTCGCTTATCTCTTCCCCCAAAGACATGCTAAAGCGTTTCCATATGTCAAAGCTAATATGCATATCCTTACTTAGTTTAGAGAATAGCCTTCTATGGATCACACGCCCGCAAAGACAGACAAGACCAGCACAACTATTAAAAAGGAAAAGAACGAGACAATTAAGAAACAGTAAAAAATAATCTTACATACTCTCGTGACTTACCCATTTGTTTGCAGATATATGTCATTAATAACCTCCTGGTCAATTTTCAGCCTGTATTCGTCCGCAAATTGTTTGTATAAGGATTGTACTTGTTCCAAAGTGAAGTTTTGGTTCCGAAAAGGATCATTAATGTCAAAAGGTGACATAGTTAAATTATTAGTATCCAGACGCAGGATACTGAAGGGACCAGTGATGACTATAGACCAGATAGCAAATTTTTCCCTTGTTGACTTAATATTACGAAGAGTTTCTAAACAAGAGAACTTTACATCATAATTCGCCCTATAAAGTCTATCAAATTCGTCGATAATGAGAACAACCTGATAATCCCACTTATTTTTCTGAAATGCAACGCTGAAATCACTGGCAGAATTGATATCGAGTTCGTTGCATTCGGAAGCATCAAGGCAGAGATGAGCGCCGAAGGTCTACCAGAAGTCATCCACGCTATCCATATTGATTTGCTCAAAACATACACTAATACGAAGGGATGAATGATAATAGAAAAACAGTTATATTTCATGCAATATGACCGGTTAGTTTGAGCGAGAAGCATAACTTACTAAATGCAAATAAAGCCTTCGTTTTGCAATTGGTTTTGAACTTCGAGAACTCGTGTAGATTTTCCAGAGGATCGTGGCCCCTGTAACGTTACGAATTCTCCACAACGAATTAATTCAAGCAGTGGAACGTTCCTCTCCGCTGGATCAATAAAATATACCACTGAACGTTCATCTCTCGTAATTGCATCATCTATCATCCATTTTCTTCGCCTCTTCTTTAACGTGATATTTTCTACCGTGATCTTCCTTTTTCTGCGCTCTAACAGTTATAGAACATTAATTACAAAAACATAATTTGCGAAAATTCGAAATAAATTTTGATAGAATAATTGTAAATTCTTTAGATTATGATGATTAATCCTTACCAATGGTTACAGGTTGGTTTTCTTTATTACATTCTAATAAGAACTCCCAGTATGATTGAAGACCACTACCTTTTCGTTCATCTTCAACCTATCATGAGAGATTAAGTGTTAGCATTGAATTATATATAATAATAACATAAACAACTCCTCCTCTAGAATCAGTAGACCTTCACCAACAACAAAATAACGGCGCCTGAATAGTGAACTTCTGGAGTGGATACCAGCTCCAGTTATCAAAACCCAGTAAATTTCCGGTGGTCAACTAGAAGGTACCCTTCTTTACCAAGTAAAAGAACGTACCTTTTTCTTTAGCTCCGCAAAAGTATCCTGGTCCAACACCAATTTTGCATTGACTAAAAATCGCCGAGACCAGGTAATGTCAAGATCGGCCCAAGTATCCTTAGGTTTAAACGTTGAAATAATTACATTGCGGTATCGGTTTATAAATCCGCGATATGAACAGCTTTTATTATTTTTTAAGTATGAGGCGAGCTCTAGAAATTCAAATATATTAGAAGCTGATAATTTTACAAGTGAAAGTCAAACGAGACTTATCATTGTAGCAGGGGTAATTAGTTTCGCTCATAATTGATTAATAAAGAAAGACGATGACGGGTTTGAATAGAGAATAATCAAGCATTCGTTTATTTATACACGCGAACGTTGAAAAATAGCACATGATCTCATGATTTTGTATACACGCGCGCGTTATGAGTGTTATACACGCGAACGATGAAAATTGCACATGATCTCGTATTTTCGTATACACGCGTTATGCGCGTTATTTTGTTATACTTTACCGTGAATAATTCATATCTGATCTGATACCGATCAAATTATGATTATCAGTAAATTGCTACAGATTTTTAATTTTATTTGTTTATTTATAAAATTTAAGAAAATGTATATTTGTTTTCTTATTATTAAAACTCCCTAAAAAGAAATTAATTATTTTTTAACGTTTTAATTTTTAAAAAATGATACATATGAAGACATTATTAATTTAGAGTAAATTTATTCGTGCAGGGACGATACTCCTTATACATCGCCTTTATATATATATCCCCCTACCCTAACCCTAACCCAGGGTTAAAAATAGAATTTCAGATTTACCAGAAATTTTGCCGGTAAATTTTCCATTTATCCGTTTTTTTAAAAAAATTATCAGAAAAATTTTCGATACTATAAAAAATTTCCGGTTCTTAAATTTTTTTTAAAAAAAAATAAACATGATTTTATATTTAGACCAAAACATTATATTTATTTTATTTAATAATTTTATACCAAATTTGTAATGCCATATTAAAATTAAATTCCATTAAATTTACATTATACAATCCAACCGCCATTAATATTTGTAATGTATCATTGTTAAGCTGATTATGAATATCAGTCTTAATATACGCCAGTTTATCAAGGACACATTCTGACACAAACACCTACACAGATTTTTCAATTTACATATCATCTCTAAACACCAACTAATATGCAACCCCAATTGGTATGCTACTTCCTTCAGCCTTAACGTCAATATCGCTTCCAATTATATGTCATATACACCTCTTCAATAAGAAAAAAGAAATACTAGTGGCTATTAGAAATGTTGCCTATGACAGAAGTTCTTAAAATCAGACACCCATCATTATTTCCTTCCTCAGTCTTATATCCCTGATTGACATAGCGGATGAAGATTTTTACCATATCTGGCTCTACTCTATGATCTATTATGAAATGAAATTAGTCATATAACATTCAAAAGATTTTTTAAAAAACATAACCAATGCATCTGATTTTGAAATTAAAAGGCTAGATTGTTAAATACTCTTAACGTATAACTCAGCATCCTATCTCATCTCATTAAAGGTATCATACCTACATACTTTTTAATTTTATCCATAGTAAATTTCTAAATATGTTAACAGCTTTAGCTGCTTGCTTCTCTTTCATATACTTTATCTTTGAAGAAATTCACACTTATTAGACTGAATGATATATCTTTTAATCAAACTTTAAAAAGCCGTTAACTTTAACATTAATCATAAAAATAAGAATTTTATCTCCTTTAGTTATAATTTCTTTGAATATGTCTTTGCCAGTTTGAATTTCTATCATAGTGTAACTTGGATCTATTGGATGAATTTTAATGTAGTAGTAGCTAAGCTTATTTTGCTTTGTTTATTTTATTTTCTTAAAAGTGATAATTTAACTTAAGTTAGATTTGATTTGAAAAAATGCAAGGTTAGTCTTTTTAAATTAGTTTTCTATTCTTTACGAGATTTTCATTATTTCTTCTTAATTTGTATTTTTATTTTTTAAATTTACTCTTATCATAACTATCACACTTTAAAAATAAAAAATTATTCATTTTAATAAAAAAAAACTTTTTCTGCTTTCAAATAAAATGCTAAAAACTAACAGAAATAGAAAAACCAATCACAGTTATTATGCATCATCAGTTAATAATAATTAATCCATAAAAAATAAAACATAATGCAAACAGTTAAATTAATAGCCTTTTCTAGTACTCTTATAAATAAAATGATATGAAAATTGATAAAATTCCAGTTGAAATTGCTTTAACTACTGACAAAATAAAGGAAAAGATATCTCTCTATCAAAAAATAATACTATAACAAATAGTATAAATGTTGATGATAACTCTAATCTAACTGAAAATGCTATTAATACAGATAAAGAACTTCTAACTTTTACTAAACTAAAAACTTTATAAATCTTTCTTATGTACTATTCTCTTGAAAAATACAAAGACACAACTCTCTAACAAAAAATCACTAATATTATCGATCAATACTATATGGATCTTCTTATATTTCAAAAGCCACATATAGTAAATTCCTACAGATTATATACAAATAATACTCAAAGTTGCTTTTTTAAATTAAGAAAAATGTGATAACTTCTGTACTATACAGTGTTAACGTTACTCTTTTCGTCGAATAAGTTAACTATGATTTGAAGTCAGGGAGACAGTAGCTATGACTTAAATCC